TCAGCAGGATAGTTGTGTTTAATACTGGTGAGCCAGGGGTCATTTCTTCTGCTTGTAAACTCTAAGCCAGGCTCAGCTGAATGCTGTGTGACCTTGTCTGCTCTCTGAGCCTCCCATAGGCTCTGGGAGTTAGTGATTAACTCAGCTTCCCCCTAGAAGCAGACAACTTGGTCCAATTTAAGATCAATGCAGTAAGATCTTGATGACTATTCCTAGCTCACTGAACCAGTAGCATTTGGGATAGTGCAGTGCCCAGCAAGATCCAGCCCTTCTTTCAGGGTGCTGACAAACAATTTGGATCTTGGTCTACCCTTCGTGCCTGGGAGGAATGAGGATCTCTCCCAAAAATGCTGAACAGACCAGGCTGGACCTGGAACAAACCCCATGATCAGCTTGTGTTATTCCTTTGTCTTGAACAGTTTTAAGTAAATGCAATCCTGACCACCTTTGTCATGGAAATACTGTCTCAAGAAGTAAGCATATTTAATAGTGGGTTTATATGTGTTATGAGAATGTAATATTTTCATCAAACAATCCAGGGTGAATGTTTCACCTGTATTTTCTTGAAGATCTTACAAGGTATGTTTGATTAAAGTGGAGAAAGGATATGCAGCCATCATGTCTACCTGCATGGATGTGTGAAACCCTTTCCACACCAGTTCCAAAATTATATTTCTGCTCATGATCCCACATGATAGGGATGTCATTTGTGTGTCCTTTATCAACAACAGCCTTTGTACTAAGTAGTCTGAAGCATGTTGCCTGGAATATTAGATAGGAGACAGCTACAAAGTGTCTCTAGCACATAGAAACAATGCTGGGCAGGGACAGAGGTCAGTATATCATTCTGGTTAGGGCTAGTCCTAATTACTCTTTCTGTAAATGAAGGAAGCAGAGTAAATCCTCTGACAACTGTCTGCCTCAGCATACACATAAGCCAGCAGTTAATGGGTTTATTTTATGGTATATTAGGCCATTAACCAATAATTATTTCTTAGCCTTATTAAACAATTCAAGGTTCTGACTTCTCTGGTTGCAAGAGATTTGATTAGTCAAATACAAACCCTTTGGGTAACCACAGGTACTCACTAGTTTTCATCTGTGCAGGGGAAAAGGACAAAAAGGTTGGGAAAAGGACAAAAAGACCAGGAAAAGCACTGCGCTGGACTGTTCCTTGGGGTGCAGTTCCATCTGTGTGGGAGTGGGTGACAAAACTCTCATTCCACACAGCAGGCAAGAATTCTGCAAAGTTGTTTTGCTGATGGGAGCTCCAAGGGATTAGGGACAGAGGGAGGACAGAGCTGCTGGGAGAGGAAGTAAAGGGAGAGTGAAATTTCTGTGCTACTGCTGGGAAAGTCCCTTCAACACCTGCAAGACTTTGGCACTTGAATGTTTCACAGCTCTGAGAAGGAAAAAAGAATTGGCCTTTTCTTGTCAACACCTCACCTCCAAGTCACCCTCTACATTCACCACCTCATCTGCGAACTGTTTTTGAATAATCTTCCCCTGGCAGCTTATTTGTCATTATTACTATGCCATGCTGCACGTGGCATCCACTAAGACCATGCTGAGAGCAAGCGGCTGTGACAATGAGAAATGACAGGCGAAGTACAAATTTAGCAAAATGAGTAACAGTGTCTTTTGTACAGTACAGAGACTGTACTTTCTGTCTTCCCTGTCTCGCCTATTTGGAATAAGGTTAGCAATGGCAAAATTTCTAGAACATTTGTCTTCTTGCTTGTCTTCTTGTTTTTAAAGTATCAGATTTACACAGATCTTCACATAGGTCAAATGTGCCACTGCACGGTTTTTTGAGAAGCTGAAATTGAAGACGTGAATCCATCATCAAAGAAACCCTCCTGACCTCAAGAGAGCTGATTATTGTTAAAGTCCAAGTAAAACAGAGGCAGTGAAAGCTTTACATATGCTTTAAACACAGGTTTCTTTCTATTTTGTCTGGATGGTTCCAGTAAGCATTAGAAAGGTTTTGCCTGAGAGAAAGCTTCAAGGAGTCTCAAACTTTTTATTGAAACTTCTTACTCTACAGGCAAAGGGGTTTTGGATGAACAAGTGAATGGATGAAACCCATTTTTCATACATTTTCTGACACACAAATCTGTGCATTGAATGCTGATGTGAATGTCATTAGTTTTGTGTTTTCTTTCAGAAAAAAAGAAAAAAAAATGTTTTGGATCCAAACAAGACCACAAATACTGTCAAATGAGAAGATGATTAATTTTTTGTTCTCAGAAATAGATGTAGTTTTAGCTAGTTTTAATATCCAAGGTAGACAGAAGTTCTAGCTGTGCAAAATTATTTTTTTTTTAAGATTCACCATGACTAATACATAATATATCTTTCCCTTTGTACTAAATTGAAATTCTTACAAGT